ACATTCAAAGGCTCTCTAAGAATTCAAGTTCTTATTTGTATAGGTACATATCTATATTGTTTTCACTAAGAAGAATGAATACATCGAAGTAACCTCTCTGAAAAGTCTGCAGTATATTGCAGTTTTCCAGCTTAATGACTTTATTTATCATGCAAATATTTCTACATAAATATTGTAAAATGTTTTATCCAGTTGCTGTAAACTACTATTAATTTAACCAAATATGGACACGGCTCAAATAGGCACCGTGCCCTTCTGCACTTGTAGGCTATTATTTTGTATTGTATTACACAATTGAATATTTTTCCAATGATTGAAAACATGTATGACAATAATCTCATGAACCTATGATGATCTGTCTAGAACAATATGATAAAAATAAAGACAAAAATGGTGAAAAGGGCAGTCACCAACCCGTAAAATAGATATAAGGTCAATAAGAAATAATTTTAAGAGTTACTGTGATAAAAGGATTTTCCACTGATTTCGTCATGGTATATATTGCAAAACGGGGAATATTGAACCGCCACGAGTTTTATGACCGTCCCGAGATACTTGAACCGCCACGATCATTAGTGCGGATTATAAGGGTCGGTTTTGCAGGGTTGAAAAACAGTTGAACTGCCACGCGGGTTCTGCAGGTAGCGAGGGAACTTTTTGAAATATTTATCCCTCCACTTTCCCACTTAGATATAAGATGGACTAACAGTCAAGATTCAAGGCTACTGCAAGCAACAAACTGTAGTTCTTAGTACAAAAATACTTCAGAGATGTCAGTATAGTATATAGATTTGGAAGTTCATTATGGTTCTGAAGTGTTGACAAATGTACTCCTTCGTAGATTTTTGAAGAAAACATTGCGTTTAATGATTTAGGGTTAGTAGCAGATTAGCTATAAGGATAGGGTTTGACAAATCTAGTCTAGCTAGTTTTAAAAATCTAGTGAGTTCAGTATAACACTGAAATTTTTGAATGAAGCTAAAATTCTGCAAATAACCATACTACCTGAGGCATCACCAAATTCAATGATTTGGACGAAAACGTTAAAAATAAAATTACTAAATGTGTATATCTTGCAAAATATAAGAAATTTGTTTTTAACTTCTTCATATCTAATTAAGATTTCTTATATTGCAAGCACTGGTTTGGTTATGTAGAAGCTGTGTAAAAAATTCCACCTATCAAAAATGCAAAATATGTATTTTCTAATAATTCAATGTGTTCTTATGGAATCCAATGGATAAACTGACTGGCATAATGATTGCAAACATATGATAAAGTTCATAACTTATGTCTTATATTGCCTACACAAATAATATAGAAGTAAGTAATAATAATAAAAATTAAGACGTTTTACTGACAGTGTTATCACTAATAACTATTTTTGTCCCCTTTTTATATTATTAGCAACTATAAATACCTTAGGAATGTGTGCTCAGATTTAGTAAAAGACATAGAAACCTCAAAATGAGACTGGGTAAAAAAGCTAACAACAAAACAAGGCAGATGTAAGTATAATTTGGATCCAGTTATATTATGTACAAGTCAGTACTTACAAAATGACCAAAATTATTTGTCTAAACGAAAAATTAAACAAAAGCAAATGGATAATATCACATATTGTATTATTGTATAAATAATACCAATATTATTTGAATAAATAAACAGACTTTTATAAACACGTATAACAAAATATCACAATTAAAAGAACTAATAAAAGTTTACAGTAAAAAGATTAAAAGATTAACTAAAACAAAAGTGATAAAAAATAATACTGTACCGACAAATAAAACAAAACAAATGAATTATGTTTCATATTGCATTTATAATATTAATTTGATTGCATTAATGAAATACGCTATTATAAACATAAACGACATAAATTATGATTAAAAGAACAAGGAAAAGGTTATAGTCAAAAGATTTAAATATTGAATATAAATAAAAGAAACAACACGAAACAGAACTATCAAAAGTAAAATACAAAAATATACAAATGGGTAATTTTAAAAATTTGGTAATACTATAGAAATAGTATCAATTTGAATAGTTAAATATTATTCACTTAGATGACAAACAATGAAAACGAAAGGTTAAGTTTCATTAAAAAATATAAAGTTGAATATGAGTTTAAAAATATATAAAAAGAATTTTACACAAATACAAATTAATAAAGTTTGTAACAAAAAGAGGTAATAATACAATTTGTTTTTGTTCACTTACCTTCAGTAAAGCATTTGGCCTGGCATCCTCCTCGTCTTCTGCGCTCACAAAACCACTTTATTGTACCGCACTTCAATTGCGATTGCTTCACAAATCGGTAACCATCTACTACTAAACAATTCCCACCACGCTCACTACTAACAAAATTTATATCGACTGACATCTTCACTGTCCACTGTATGAAGGCGAACTGATATTTTTGACAGAACAACCCTTGCTTAAATACCCGAAATAGAGGGGGAGTCAAGAAACATTCCATAGTTTTGAGTAATCCTACCTAAGTCATCCGGCGATGACATCGAAACACCATAACTCCAATTCTTGTGATTTAATGTTCTATGGAACACTTCTATCATTAATTTCACGGTTAAGTTTATATGTATTTTTTATTTTAGAAGACTTCCCCCGAAAGACTTTCAGTGCAATATTGTGGAAGGGGGCATAAATCGAAAGCATTGTTTATTTTTGCATAAAATTACGCAAACTAGCTTACATTACAAATAACATTAATTGCTCATAAGGTTAATATTTAATTTTTAAATTGTCAAATTAGTCGTGTAGCAAAATACGAATTTTCTTACGGTAGTGGCTGTCACCAATCACGTTTTTAGGGCTATAAGTCCCTAATTCCAAAATTTAGTCAAAATCCTATCGCTGGATTTCGAGGTATATATTAGGCCTACAGACTAACAGACATAGCTAGTATTAGAGAGTAGGATATACTCAATATTTCTCTGCACCATCAATTGATGTGGTTTTAAAATATACAACACTGAAATAATAAGTAAACAATAATTAAAACCAAATTCGAAAGTTTTCACACTATCCCACATTATAAGAAAAACATACGGTCATTTCCCTTGAAATTAAGAAATCTAAGGTAGAATCAAAATGTTATCTCAAGTAAAATCAGACAAACAAACTAAAACCAAAACCAATCTAACAGCTTTATGTATATTCAATATTTTAAATGTAATTAAACATAGAACTTAACTGGGTACTACCCTGAACCCAGGGTGGATGTGAAATGGGTTTATTAAAAACTGATATTTTTCGGGGAAGTTTCACATCAAGACATTTCATTCATATATGCGGTTGGTGTAAGACTCATGGTTTTATTAAAAAATTGTGATCCTAGTTAGTTGTCCAAAGCTATATACTGATACATAAACATCTTTGAAGTATTTTTCTATGTTGACACACATATTAAATATAATATACGTAGTATGTTTTTAAAAAGAATTAGGAAGGAACAATGAGAAAACGAATATCCATGATACTTACATTGTGTGTCTGTACTAGGAACTGTACATAGTTTTTTGCTTGCAGTAGCCTTGAATCTTGACTCTTAGTCCATCTTATATCTAAGTGGGAAAGTGGAGGGATAAATATTTCAAAAAGTTCCCTCGCTACCTGCAGAACCCGCGTGGCAGTTCAACTGTTTTTCAACCCTGCAAAACCGACCCTTATAATCCGCACTAATGATCGTGGCGGTTCAAGTATCTCGGGACGGTCATAAAATGCGTGGCGGTTCAATAACAGCCTGCAAAACATAACATGATACAGAAAAAAATTAATTTTAAAATCAGAAAATAACATTGCAAATGCTTCTTTTGGACAATTCAGTAACCCCCAATTAATGTGTCTTGTTTAAAATACAATTTACAAATTAACAGCTGTTTCATTAAAAAGAATTATCCACATTGCCAAAATGTAAACAAATCTGTAGAGGGATCTTTAAAGGCTTCTGGAGCAGAGCCCTAAGGGAATTTATTTCGTTTTTCTTTTGATAACCCATCTACAGACCAAGACCTTTCTTTAGACACCCCTACCAAGTTTCTACGCCCAGCCGTTCTCTCAAATTAGTGGAGACAAAGTTTCCAATTAAATTTTTAGATTCCCCCATGTTAATCTTATGGGAGAAAATCCAACTTTGATGGAAGATCCTGTCCAAACTAATAAAGATATCAAAAAACAAAAAACACTTTGCAAAACTACAAATCAGGGCATTTCTTTTGACACTTTAATCATCAAAATCGGTCCAAAAATGAGGGAGGAGTTCTGTTCACAAAAATCGGCTTAGCGTATTATATATATATATATATATAGATGAGTGACAAGGAAACAATTGAGACGTTTAGAAAAGTAGCTAGGGAAACAGGAAAAACCAGGGATACATACAGGCGTTAAATTATAAAAAAGAAACAAACAAAAACTAAGAAACAAAAGGAATGAAAACTTGCCCATGAAGGGGAGAGGAAAGGTTTTTTTTCCTAGGACGCTAGGCACGAGCCTGGGATTGTTTTTCACATTACTTCAGGCTAGACCTAGTGGTTGCGGCATTATCACTTAGATAAAATCCATTGATGACTTGGCGGGGATCAAACCCGAGACCTCAGGGACTGAAGTTCCGCGCTCTAACCACTACGCCAGCTCGCTCCCCGGAGAGGAAAGGTTAGAGCGAATCTCAATGATCCCTATCGCTCAGGGCGATATGGGGAAGGGAGTCGTGCCGTTAGGTTTTAGGAAAAATAATGTGCCTGGAAACCTAATGTGGCTATGAGTAAGGCTATTTGAGAAAACACTATTTACAATAAATGTTGATTATATCGATCTGTTATGTACTTCTTGAGTATTTCCATAATCTTTGAGTCGAATATTTTAAAGTCATCAGAAATTATGGCTGTTATTCGTTTTAAAATAACGCCTGTAATACTTAACAATTGCTCGAATTCGAGCAACAAGTACACTAGTTTATTACTATTTTTATTACTTACGTCCTCCTCCTCACTTAACAGTGAATATGAGGCAAAAGCATTGCTGCGACTGATGCGATCTAATTCATTTACTACTGCAGGACACATGCGATTCAGGAACTCAGTAAGTTTTTCTTCATCGTACTTTGTTTCTGCAACTTCCCCTTCAGTGCTCTCTGTTTGTACCTACACAGTAGTGATATCTGATAATATTCAATCAATATTTATTATGTATACCATGTATATATCATGTAAATTTGAGTTTTCAACAAACTCCTGTCGCAGCAATGCAAACTAGTTCAAATCTGACACGAGCGCCGAATTCTCTGCCTCATTCCCAACTATTGTGGCTGCCATAACGCCTAGATTAGTATCGTCTAGTAGTAAATAAAACTATGTGAGGGAAAATGCTCTCGTCAAGTATGATTAGGTTCTCGTAAGAGAGGGGTTAATCCAGATTATAATCCAATGCCAGGGGGACAGATCTGTATCTATATTAAGTATTTAGGTATAAAAAAGTGCAACAGAGTATGTCAAAAGTGATCAAAGTTGAACAAAAATTGACTGCTGAGTTCCCTGGTTCTCTGGACTTCCAGAGTTTACTGTTGTAAAAACTTGCCTGTCAAATAAGTGATTTTCTCAAAATAATTTTAAAATTAAAACCACTTTCAAAGTAGCCTAACACAAGCACATGTTTGTTTACAAGAATAACAACATTAATGAAAACATATGAATTATATCATGTGACTTTATTAAATGTCCTAAGCCGGAAGAAAAAGAAACAACTTTAAACATTTTCTAACAAACTCCCCCCTTTGCGAAGGCTTTTGCATACTACATTTTTTATAGAGAAATAAATCTACCAGTTAATTTTTTTCAATTCTTTGGGCCAGCAAGAATGACAAATTTCAAAAACCAGCAACAAAATTCATCATTTTTCCAGAATTTGAAAAATGGTCATCGGATTTGTGGCAGCTTCAAAACAATTAATGTATAACAAAATTCATGCTGGCCTATTAAATAATTCTACCCCTGTAGTTTGAAAACCGTTTGAAATGTTTGCTCTCTCTTCAAGAAGTGGTCGAAACAACTGTTTTAAACAACTGCAATACTTGAAATTTTGTACGCACATTAACAGAATATGATTCATACTTGACTTATGTGGTGGGACTAATTGTCACATACAGGTAGGAATTGGTTAGAATATTAGTTGGGGGAGTAAAGAAAACGTCGCTGATGTCCGATTTGTACTAGCTCGCTTAGTCGTGATTGGTGCTCCTTGGAGACTTTATTTTACAGACAACCCTTGTACGTGGGAAACAACGATAACGGCTATTAGCAAATTTCCCATATAGGGGGTGGTACGGTAATACCTAGACCCCTGACTGATAAGGGTGATTCAAAATGAATACCTATCACAACTTAAGGAATTTAAAACTCTACAAAGAAAAAAAGGAAAGCTAATCATTATCTGAGGCAAATTAAGTAGTTTCATTTAATTGCTCATTTGTTCGCTTGAGGCGCTGTTGACAAGAAGTCAGAGTCAGTTGATGCTAAGATGGTTTGTCCCGTTGTTGACAAGCTAATGAGTTTGCTGCTGGAGGGATATTGTAATAAGGCTTACATGTTAGTTGTATGTTATGGTTTTTTATGTACATGTGACAAAGGCCAATTTTCTTGTTTTATAACCTGTTGTAATGGTTGTAAAGAATTTGACAATGCCCATTACATTGTGGCTGAGAATTCTTATTATTAAAGAACCATTTGATATGGATATGTAAATGGGTATTTTACTTTATGTATTCTTTTAGGTTTTCATAACAGAATTTTTCATTAAGGCCTAATGGATTTATTATTTAACCAACCATAAGATTAAAAAAAGTCAAGAATAACCGTTGGTAATCGATGATGAAAAGAAAAAGATGTACGAGCCAACGATTCCATATTTTAAAGAAAAATATAACTTTAAAAATATTGAAGTAATTGGTTTATTTATTGAATCAAGAGGGACCATTATAAGTTTTTTATATAACTTACTCTATCTGAGCAAGATCAAAATTATTGTATCGTTTTAGTTAGTTAACTTTTTCTGTTTAGCCTAAATTATTGTTTGTTATTCTTTGTTTTTAACAGCTTCCTTGTGATAGAGTAAGAAAGATGTAATGTATTTAATAAATAATTTGTATATAAAGGTGTTAAATAAAAAGACAGTGGCATTGATTCTTTCAGTAACATTTATTTTAACAAAATTAGAGCAGAATTGCAATAAAAAACATAACTATCAGGACCAAACTCGATGATAGGCTCATCTCAGAAGTAGGCCTACTAACAAATCAACAGTGATTATGGTTTTTTTTTTAAGGGAGAGGAGGGAAAATGCTTTTACGCACACAGGTAGCCAGCCTGTAGTGTGAGACTCCTGAATCTATCACAGACTACTCACTAAAAAATCCCCTCTACTCTGTTGGACACAGACCTGGAATTTTTTGTCACATTACTTCAAGTCAGGCCAACATGTGACCTAAGCCCTCAGGGCTCTCACTGTTTTTGGCATTTTGATACTTCATGACCTACACCGCATCCCGGTCAAGGTCGAGTTTCTTGGCGCGGAGAATACCCTGGATGTAATGTGACACACAGGTCCAATTGTCCTCACCCTCCGTCATCATCGGTATGACCGTGTCCACCGACAGCAGTTCTACTAACTGTTGAGCCTCCAGGCGGGGCCTTTCCCAACGCTGGCAGTGGAAAAAGGTATGTTCCACGTCATCAGGAATGCCTGGGCAGTATATGCAATCGGGTGACACGGCTTTGCCCATCCTGAACAGGTACGACCGGAAAAAGCCATGACCCGTCAGAAATTGGGTGAGATAGAAGTCCACCTCTCCACACCGCCGATTAACCCAAGTTTGGACTTGCTTTATCAGTTGCCTGGTCCAGCGTCCCCGAGTCTCCTGTTCCCAGCTCTCCTGCCACAGCTGGTAGGTGCGGTTGCGTTCCTCTGTTCGTGCCTGGTCCTCCCCACGGCGCTGATAAATTGCTTTTCTCTCCGACGCCAAAAGTTTGACGGGGATGACTCCAGCAACCACCAGGACGGCGGGTTCGGACACTTTTCGGTAGGCGGGTGCAACTCTTAGTGCTGCCTGACGCTGCACTCGGGCGAGCCGCATCATATATACCTCCTTATTTAGAGCGTATGCCCACACCTCAGCACCGTACAAGAGTACGGACTGGACAGAAGACATTAACAGCCTTCTACGGCTGGACCGAGGCCCTCCAACATTGGCTATCAACCGGCTAAGAGAGGAGACCACCCTAGCGGCCTTGTCCGCCGTACGGAAAATCTGATCCCGCCAGCTAAGCTTGCTGTCCACCATAATCCCAAGGTACTTGGCAGAACGAACGGTCTGGACTTCGACGGCCCCTACCCTACGGCGCACGATGGTGTCAATCAGTTTTTTTGTTAATATCACGATCTCCGTTTTGCTCAAAGCAAGCGAGAGACCGTGGTCTGTCATCCATGCGTTTATAGTACGCATAACTCGGTCAGCTTTAGCTGAGCCAGCTCAACGCTACGTGCAGCTATCAAAACTGCAACGTCGTCCGCGTACCCAACCAAAACAGTTTCCTCAGGCAATTCAGACCTCAGGAGGCTGTCATACGCGACATTCCAGAGGTCCGGGCCGAGTATGGAACCTTGGGCAGCACCAATAAATGTGACACTCATCGTCCGTGGGCCCTCTGTAGTGTCATACATGAGGAGGCGGAACCGGAGATAATCCTCTATGATACGCATGAGGTATGCCGGGATGTGGAAGGTGTTCTCCAGAGCATCCAGCATATCGCACCACCTCGCCAAATTAAATGCGTTTCGCACATCGAGAGTTACGAGCAGCACAACCCTTCGAGAGTAGTGGTTAAAATCCTCAGCTCTCATCCCGGCTTGCTTCACCTCTTCAACAGCGTCAACCGTAGATCGCCCCATCCTGAATCCATACTGGCGAGGGGACAGGTCCCCCGCAGCGACCACGTCTGAATTCAGTCGGGAACGGATCAGTCTCCCTTCCCCTTCCCAACAAGCACAAGCCTAGCTGTTTTCCAGCACGAGGGGAAAACTCCTTCGACTATGCAGGCGTTGTACATGCGCAAAAGGATCAAGGGGTTAATAGTCAAAACCTTTTTGAGGACTTCGCCGGGTACCCCATCGGGTCCAGGAGCCTTATTGTTCTTCAGGGATAGGACGGCCGCCTCCACCTCTCCAAGACTGAAAAGTGGTACGTCATCCACCCTTCCGAAATCCCGCAGTGGGCGCAACATGTGAGCCGGGAAAAGGGACTCGACTATCCTCTCCATAGTGGCCCCATCCATGACGGAAGGTGGAGAGCGGGTGCCAAGTTTCTTGGTTACAAGTGTGTAACCCAAGCCCCAAGGATTGGAATCGAAATCGTCCCTTAATGTCTCCCAGCAACTGCGTTTACTCCGGTTGATGGCTCGACGAAGAGACCTAGCCACTCTGTAAGCATCCGACTGTCTACAGGTTCTCTGGCCCTGGTAGCAAGTCTTCTGGCTCTCAAAGCTGACCGACGCAATTCCGCAATCTCGGCAGTCCACCAGTACACAGGTCGCTTATTGCAACGGGATCTCCTGCGAGGCATAGACTCATCGCAAGCCGAGACGATTAGTCCCATCATGGATGTAACTAACAACTAGCACTCTACGGCTCAACAAAAATATGTAATCTAGATAGCATTTTAAAGGAGCAAAAAAGAGCGGTTAGAATCATGCTTAAGCTGCAGCATGATGAGTCAGCTAAAGAGCATTTTAAGGACCTAAAAATCTTTACTGTTTACGGGCAGTATATATATGAATCAATAATGATTGCAAAAAAACAAGAAGAATATTCGGAACCAAAAGAAAAATCCCATTCTTATAATTTAAGAAATAAAAACGAAAATGTACAACCACATAGGACTAAATTTTTTGAAAAGAAACCATCCTATGCAGGTAATAGATTTTTAAAATTTATTCCAAAAAATATTAAAAAAGAAACAGATCCAAACAAATTTAAAAAAATATTGAAAGAGTTTTTAATAAATTTAGCAATTTATTCATTTGACGATTTTTTCACCTCCCTTAGTCGCTATGATAAATTATCTTACTAGATTTGTAAAATGTATTTGTTGTTT